TAATTACTTATATAAATTAACCAATAAAGATATGAGCAAGACCTCACCTTAATACCAAAAAAAAAAAAAAAAATTTTTGCTTCTAATACAAGTCTTAATTTTTATTAATAAATTATTAAAGATGCAATAATGAAAGTTGTTATTCTTTATAAAAACTACAATATTGTATTAAAAACTATAGATTTAAAACTAATATTTAAAGAGTTCATTAAGAATTTGTAAATAATTTTTTTAGTTAAATTTTTTTTTAAAATTTATTTGTTTTTAGCTTATAAGCAACCCAAGCTTTTTTTCTTATAATATAAAATTAAATACTACTATAATATAATTCTTATTTTCAAATATCAGCAAAAAAAATTTTATTTAAATATTTTATATTTTAATAAAAATAAATCATAAACAAATTTATAGCAATTTTCTAGGCAAATTTGTCTGAAATTGCCTACAATTTAAGGGATAATATTAAAATTTTTGTTAAATTACTTATATAGATTTATTTAGAAGAAATAATTTAATATTTATAGGTTTCTAAAAATTATTTTGCTCAAAAAAAGTAACTAAAATTGATAATAATCAATAATATGAGGTTTTCTAGTTAAGTTTGGCTATAAGATAATAAAAATACTATTATTTTTTTTAACTGGTTCAAAGGAATGATGGTTTTGTGTTGTATCTATTAACTGTTTTTGCAAAATTTCTTGATATTAAAATAAATCTTTGGCTAATATTTCTAAAGGATTAATAAGCTAGCAAAATGCAGATTTTCTAATTTATGCAAATCTTGTATATTTAAAAAGAATATTCGAATAATATGCTACTATAGTTGTATCAAATTGCTCTCTCTTTTTTTTTAAATGAACAATTTCAAAGTGCCTAATAAACTGTTCTATGTCAGCAAGAATATAACAACTTCAGCTTTTTAGCTTCTCTGAATTACATTTATCTATATACCATAATGCAGCAACCAAATCTTTAACAAATTCTTTTCTAGTTGTTATTGCTTATCTCTACTCCATTCACCATTATTTTCACAAATCCATTTAACAATATCATACTGTAACTTTTCCAATGCATTTGAGTGATCAGAAATAGTAAAAGTTGGTAAATGAGTTAAGCTAGTAGCATTATTTATTATTTGTAAAAAAATATTAATTGACACATCAGAATATGATAATACTTGGCTATTTAGTTGATAATATTACACTTTGTTTTCCCAATCTTCAATTGCCTCAACCATGTTATATTCCATACTAACAACATTAAAAGGTCCAGTGGTGTTGGATGAAAACTCTATTTTAACTAGTTGTAAATGGTCTTCATTATTCAACTGCACTTCATGAACAATTTTTCCTACAATAAGATCTTTACAAAACTGCCTTACTATAATATCTTCAGGTACAAGAATACCAATCCAGTTTACTTTTATATTATTTTCTGCTTTAATTCACACAGATACAACAGGCATTTTGATTTTTGTTAATCAAAAATTAATAAACTCAATGCTTTTGTATATTTAAATTGACAAAGTATTAATTGATAGGAAACATATTTTAAGTGGTAATATACTGACAATTTTATATGAAAGTACATATGCTAAAAATACTAATAGTGAAGCTTAATCTAACATCAACAATATCTGAACTACGTATATTCAGTGTTGTACATGGGACATGTTCACACTATATAAAATGTCCAACGTTCAAGATTGTCCAAAATTGTCCAAGCCTATGTCCCATGTTTAAATAATCAATAAAATAATATTAAAAAAAATATAATTATATATATTTTTAGCTGCGGGATTCATTTATGAAAAAATTAAAATAGATTATCTTAATAAAATTTTGAGTAATTTTAATTTGAAAAAATGTCCAAAATTGTCCCATGTACAACACTGCGTATATTAACAGCAATAATGATATAAAAAGAGGTAAGATAAGTATAATTTATATACTGCTTAATTAAGAAATTATGACACGATTGCAAATATAAACTTAATAAAAACATAGCGATAGTACTATGGGACTATAAAACAGGTATCCTTTATTGTAAAATAACAATCCAGATTCACGATAGATGCAAATTATTTAAAATTATAGCTAATGTGCTTTATACAGGTGGAAAGCTACTAGCTGATATTAAACATCACTAATTGTTTAATAGCTAGCCTGCTTTATGCAGGTAGAAAACCACCATCTAATACTCCATATCATTTTTAATTATTATAATCAGCTGCATATTTCGATAAAGTGATTTTAAATAAAGCCTTATTTGGATAGTGTGTATCTAAAGAACATATTCATGGAACATGTCATGTGCATCAAGTCTTTTCGATACTTAGCAATTTTGTAGCTGCAAAAAACTTGTTTTATGCAGGTTTTAAATATTACATAATTTAAACACTATTATTCATAATATCATATTTACAGAATTAGCATAAAGTGAACCGTTTGTCGATCACGGCCCGCATTACGGTTAATTTGGGCCGTGATCGGCAAACGGTTCGCATCTCTAGCATAAGTATGCATTAATAACATTAAATGGTTCTAATAATAATATCTAAACAAATAAAAATGTCTTTCCAAGAAGCCTTAGAAGCCAAAGACTCTGTATACACGAAAACTCAAATTCGATGCAAAAAAAAAAAAAAATCTGGCCCGCCGACTGGAATTTTGAAATACCATGTTATGCAAAACGAAAAATTAACTTTGCGTGGCCTAATCCTTTTTAAGTCTGTTCATAGTTGCTGTCATGAGAATTTTTTTTTTTTTTATCTTTCGTCGGCTTCTTTTCCTCATTATACAAAAGCATTTTAATCGGCCTATCACAGAATTATAAAGTTCTTATTTTGTATCGTATCTTTTATAATTGTTTTAATATTAGAATTGTCTTCGGTTTCAATAATATTTTTACTTTACAGTAGCAAAATTTTTTATACAGTATAACGATAGCATTTTATCATGATTAAGATAAAAAGTCAATTAATGATGCTAACCAAATCGTAACTTTTATATTACTTTGACTAAGCGTCATTATGCTCCGGATAACAATTTCTGATATTAATTACTAAATTACATAGGTGAGTCATACTTACATCACTATAATCTTTTGTATTTTCGGTAAATTCAATAAAAATAAAAAAGATAGAAATTCTATGTATTACAATGTACATAAGAGGAAACAATGCCCTTAGGTAAATCCTTACCATAAAAAACTTTTTAAAATACTGTAAATTTGTCGATCACTATTGTGCTATTATCAGTTATCTTTAAAAACTCGCAAGTGTGGACATAATAATCAGAGAAAACATCTATATATCTAAACAAATTAATTGGACTTATTCGATAAACAGAACTATTAGTTTAATATATTTAATTTTCGAATATTGTCAAGTCGTTGAAATCATTATTATATTCAAAAGAATCTTACTATGTCAACTTCTCATAATATTAATCTTGTTAACGCAGCCTTTACAGCTGTAATGGGAACACATAATTTTGTATCTGAAAAAAAATTTCTCAATAGACAAGCTCGTGGAGAAATAAATGGCACGACATATGAACAAGTTGACCTACAATCATTTCATCAAATCAATCTTGTTGGTGGTAATCTGAACGTTGCAGTTAATAAAAGACAGATTGACTTGCATTCACCTCATCAACTCGAAACTACGCACAGTATTTCTAACTCGCGAAATTTCGGTGGACTAATGTTTGTTAAAATGATCACTGGTAAAACTATAACACTTGAATGTAAAGGGAGTGACACTATTGATACCGTTAAACAGAAAATTCAAGACAAAGAAGGTATTTCACCAGATCAACAACGTTTAATTTTTGCCGGTATGCAATTGGAAGATAACAAATCACTTTCTGACTACTGTATTAGAAAAGAAAGCACGTTGCACATGGTTTTATGTCTTCGTGGCGGTTGTTCTGTAATTTGTTATTTAAGTGTGAGTGCTTTGAATCCACGCTATGATTATGATTTTACAAATATTAAAGATGTTGGAAAGACATTTATGCGAGGATTAATACAGTATAAAAGACCATGTGGATGGAAGCGTATCGCTTTAAAGGTTACCGGAAAATATGATAATGGTAATAATAAATGGCTTGGTACCGATAAAAAGGCATGGCCAGTGTCGTATCATGGTACTGCTAAACATAATGCAAGATCAATTGCTGAAGATGGTTACGATTTGAGCAAAGGAAAACGTTTTGCTTATGGACGTGGCATTTATTCAACACCAGACATACACATAGCTGAACGATATGCTAAGCAGTTTGTATTTGAAGGAAATACATATGTGATGGTATTTCAAAATCGTGTAAATCCTGCTAGTTTGCAAAGGTTTCCTGTTAGAAATGGCGAGTATTGGGTTTCTGAAAAAGGTGAAGATGTCAGGCCATATGGTATTTGTATTAAGAGGAAGTAACAAATACGCTATCTCACCTCCCAAAACCAATATCATCTTCATGTCCTCTTCTTCTCTACATGCATTTTTTATATTTTCTTATCATTTCTTTCTTATTATAAGTTGGAATTACATTATATTTTTTAGAATTACATTATATTCAGTTAGCAATTAATCCCTTTTAAGCAGTAATCATTAGTCTTAGCCCTATTTGTGTATCGATATAGTGTGAGCCCCGGGATCCGACCCACATACTGCGGCTTAGTGCGACCCATGATCACGGGCATTATTGCATTTATCAAATTTGTTAAATTTATGGCATTTAGATAATTTGTTAGATATATTAGCTATACAACATAAATTAGGTTTAAAGAATTTGTACTACTGTATTTACTTGTAGTGATGAGTTTTATATTATAAATAAAAGCTGTGAAGGCCTTTGGTAAACAAGTTTTGAAGTATATATCTTCTGGTCTTCTGGTATGGTACAGAAAAAAGTATCTGGTAGGGTATGGTACAGAAAAGTAACCGTACCCAGATAAATTTTTTTGAGCAGGGTACACAAAAAAATTATAATTACAGTACCAAGTTATTTTTTTTGTGTTATCATAGGTACGCAAAAAAAATAAATACATAATAAAAAATTTTACATAGTATTAACAACCTGAGTACGGTATGAAAAAAAAAATAGCTAATTTAAAAAAAAATGTACCATACCCAAGGTTATGTATATACTTTTAGGTATGGTACAAAAAAAAGTTTTGTAATAGATTATATTATTGCATCAATAAAATTATAATAAGATATGAATAATTACTGGTATACAATTATTTTGTTTAATATGATGTAATTAAAATATTTATATGTATAAATAATATGTTTTAAATATAATTATATAATTATTTTTTTTAATATAATGCAATTAGATATTTATATAATTTTATATATTTTAAATATAATTATATATATTTAAATATAAAGGGTGTGGTGACTAGTAAAGTAGTGGAGTTGTTATACCCCAACTATACTTGTGGCCAAAATTTTTTTAGAGAATATGAGATTCAAAAATCTGAATCTCCAATTTGAAATTATGTCGAATTTGAAATTACTATCAAAATTTAAAAAATATTTGAAATAATTAAAAATACAGTCAAACCTCTCTATAATCACACACTTGGGATACAAAAATAGGTGTTTGTAGAGAAGTGTAGCAGATATAGAGGTCAAATTTATTATATTTAATAATAGTTTGTTTTTTAAAAAATATACTTATAAAAAAATGTGCTTATATAGAAGGTGACTATAGAGAGATTAGACTATATTTCTATGTATTTTTTAATAAGCTGAAATATTTTTTTTTCAAATAAAAGCATTATTTATATATTTCTATAATTTAATTGATAATTTTATATAATACATTTATTGCTAATATATTTCTATCAAAATCAAGATATTGTAATTATTTAATTGTTTTTTTTTTTCATATTGCTAATTAGTGCTCTTATAGACAAAACTTGAACTAGACTTTAGTAAAGTCTGAGTCTGGTCTGATTTTTGATCAGACTTAGACTTTTTAGTCAAGTCTGAGTATGGTTTGGGTTTGGCCCGAAGTCTGCAGATTGGTCTGAGTCTAAATAAGTTTATATGTGATTTTTGGTGCCAAACAAGATTACTTAGTACATGAAGTTAATTAATTAGTAAAATTTTGTGAATTATAAGAAAATGTTATAAAATCTTATAATTCAAAAATTTTTATAATCAATTCTAATTTTATGTATTAAGTAAACTAGTTAATGTCTAAAAATATATTAAAACAGCATAATTATTTTTATTTTACTTGAAATTTAGAGAATAGATACATAATTTTGAAATTTGATCAAAAAAGTCAAATTTAAGCATTGTTTCTCCAAATTTCAAGTAAAATAAAAATAATTTTGCCAATTTAATATATTTTTAGATATTGAACAAGATTACTTAGTACATGAAGTTAGAATTAATCAGTTAAATATCACAAGTCATAAGATTTTATAGAATTTTATTAATAAAATTTTATAAAATCTTATAATTCATAAATTTCTTTTAATTAATTCTAACTTTATACACTAACTAAACTTGTTTAGCATCTTGTAATACAACAAAACAGCAGAATTATTTTTATTTTACAGTAATTTAGAGAATAGATGCATAATTTTAAAAATTTGATTAAAAAAGTTAAATTTAAATATTGTTTATCCAAATTTTAAGCAATATAAAAACAATTTTACTGTTTTAATATATTTTTAGGTTCTAAACTAAATTACTTAGTACATAATGTTAGAATTAATTAGTAAAATATTGCAGATTATAAGTTTTCATAAAAATTTTATTAATAAAATTTTATAAAATCTTATAATTTACACTATCATTATCAGTTGGATTCTAATCTGTAATTTTGGTTACACCATCTAGAATAGGAGCTTTGGCACAATAAATCCAAGAAACTAGAATAACTGAAAACCCATTTTGCAAGTTTCAAGTCAGGAGGTAGCATGACTTTTGATGGCACTACAGGAAGACCAAATTTGGAACTAGAAACTGAGATTAGAGAACTGAGTGACCAGGTCCTTTAGTGGAGGAACACACCAGCTGAACTGCTGGGTCACCAAAACTAGAGAAAAAAAGACATATGCTCTGGAAGCATGTACCAAGGGGAGAGAGCCTGTAAGATATATAAAGCCTAGGGCAGACCAACCCTTTCAGATTGCTGGCTAGAAGCAAGGAGAGCCTGATAAAGAATTCAAGGAAAAAGAAAAGTCTGAATATGTGTACTGGGGTTTTATAAACATTCCAAGGGCAAGAAGTAAGTAATAGTAGGAGTAAATAACTCTCAAGTACATGAGTAAAGCTATGCTGTAAGTTACTGAAAGTCTAGATAGCCGCCTTTGTGTAGGACATATACTAATCTAGCAAGATTTGCCTCTGAAGATAAATTCCTAAGGTCATGCATAAGTTATTATTAGGGATTCTTCTTATGGAAGTAAGAAATACAATCAGAGGGTTTAAATAGACAACTCTATAGTTTGGGTTGCAGGTATGACAGCTAGTGTAGAACCTTTGGGTGAACTACTTAAATTAGGCACCAAAAGTGTATGTGTAGCTAGTTGTACTCTCATTGTAACTCTAAAATAACAGTATTCTTAATAAAACAATCGGCTGCCAGTACAATCAAAAGAGATCATCTTAAAAAAAAATAATAATTTTATAATTTATGAATTTCTATTAATTAATTCTAACTTTATGTACTAAGTAAACTTGTTCAGTACTTAAAAATATATCAAATTGGCAAAATTGTTTTTATTTTACTTGAAATTTAGAGAATAAATACATAATTTTAGAATTTTGATTAAAAAAGTTAAATTTAAATATTATTTTTCCAAATTTTAAGTAAAATAAAAACAATTTTGCCAGTTTAAAATATTTTTAGGTAATAAATAAGTTTATTTAGTTCATAAAATTAAAATTAATTAAAAGAAATTTATGAATTATAAGATTTTTTTTTTTAGTATTAAGATGAGGTCTTGTTCATATCTTTATTAGGTAGTTTATACAAGTAATTACACAGTAACAACTTAATTTGTATAATAACAAAAATTATATAAACTATATGCAAGAATAAGAGCTCAGACTAAAAACTCAGCTATGGCTAAATTAGTTATTTGCGATCTAAACCTACTAAAGTGGTCAAGACTTATTTAGATTTTAATAGCTAATATTTGGTTTGTATGTATGCTAAATTGGATCCATGCTATAGACTACTGGTAAAATTTTAGCTAGACTAGTTCTTTCATAGAGCATGTACTATTGTCTTTATGCAGTTGGTCAGCTATACCACAAAGGTAGTTGTAGATAAACCTTCTTCTATGTTGCTTGGTGTGGATGTAAGCTTGTGAGCCTATTGGTGTGGCTCTATCTTTTGGTGATAATATACTGTTCTGTTTCTTCTATCTTGCAAATCTGTCACAATATAGTTTTCAGATTTGTTTATAGATTTTTGCAGATACAAGAAGTTGTATTTGTATAATAATATCAGCTGTCTCATTGCATCATAGATTTAGAGGCTAAAAAGATTCAAGTAGTTGTGCAAAGATAAAGCCTTTGAGAGTGGCAGGTAGCTGATATGTATGTAGAGAGAAGATGAGTAGATAGTTAAGAGATGAGTGAGCTTTAATAAGATTTATTACTACTCTGCTGTTGAGTAAGGTTGAGTTGCTGCTATGTTTGCTAACTATTTTGATAAGGGTATTTATAATCTGTAGAAGGTCTGGGGGACTCTGGTAGCTTATCTAATAGTTGGGTAAATCTGGCATATCACAGAAGAAACAGGTACTAGTCTGGTATATTGTTGGGGTAATGTAGTAAAAGTAAAAGTTGTTGGCAGATTATTGAGCAGATATTTAATTCTGAATACCTATATTTAGTTAAGTTTGGGTAATGTAATGAGCTCTAGTCAATTGTTTGAATATAATCTTCCCATTCAGTATTGCACTTTTGTGATAACTATAGTGCTATTATGTATACTCTACAGATATTCTTGACAAATAGTCATGATAGTTTTTCTATATTATAACCTTTTTATATAATTATGAAATGCAGGTCATATATGTTGATATGGTTGAACAGAAGAGTGGGTGTTGCTAGATATTGATGCTTCTTGGCCAAGATATTTACAGTATTATTAAATTGATCATTTGAGTGCACCTAAATTTTGTGCAGTATAAGTTGGATATTAAAAGCCTTGGTAGTGTTGAGAAGTATGTGCTAAATAGGCCAGTAGTTAAACTTAAAATAATTGGAAGATTTGGAAGAGGTGTGTAGGAGTTTGTAATACTTGGAAATAATAGATTGGGAGTTTATAAATATATTTATTTTGGTATTGTGAGATAGTGTAGCAATTGCAAATAGAATTGCTAGAAGTTTAGCTTTGTATGATGAGGGCCAGTTAAGGATCTTAGCAAAGAAGCTGCTACTAATCTGGTTGTGGT